CTTGGGTTTTCCCTCCCTCCCTGTTTTGTTTGTTTGTTTTTTCCTCAGAGCAAGGCCTTTAGGGTCAGTTCTCATTTCTAGCTTTTTCCACTAAAACATTGAAATTTCAGTGCCAAATTCTCAAAATACAGGAGAAATGCATTTTTCATCATAATTAACAACATAGTTTCTATCAAGGAAGTGGTTGTGACATTTGTACAAACATCTTTCCTACAGCAATAGGATCAGCTGTTATAGCTGGAAGAAGCACTGTACTTTTCCAGCAAAATATCTCAGGCTCAGTACTTGGAAATTGAAATATTCACACAAAAGAACTCTACTTTTCAGGAAAGATGTACAATAAAAGTATTACAAAAAGTGAATAACAGCTCTAAATTAATTGCATACATAAATAAACATTGTCAGAAAAAAACTATGTTTTCTTTAAATCACTGAAAAGATATAATGATTTGTTTTCATTATATCACACAATAGTTTTAAGTTTAATATCATTGTGGCAGCACTACAGTGTACTCAGTCTAAGATGCTTGATGACCTGGCACGTTTATTTAGCAAAAAATAATTACATGACTGTAATCATTGTCTTAAAGAGTTTTCTAGTTTCCATTCTTTTATGGAACATGCACAATAGTTGCTGGGATAAAAATATTAAAATATATATTTGAGAGCACAAAGGCAAATGACTTGGGAATTATTTCTCTGATAGCTGAGGAATAAGAATAGGGAGAAGGAGAAGGAGAAGGAGAAAACAGGTAGAGAGCCTAGAGGGTTCAGGTCAACAAACTTTAAAAAAGAAAACCTGAGTGGCACTGGACTGTGTGTTCTGGAGCACAACAGAGCTATTTTTGCCCACAGACTCAAACTGCTCTGCGTTAGCTGTGAAAACAGATTGGTCACCAGATTGGAACCTGCTTGTTCCCCAAGGAGTTAATGTCCATGGGAGTAAGCTGGATTCATGGGAGGGTTTTTTCCAGACATACTCAGTTTAACTTGAATGTGCTTTTATAACCTTAGCTCTTGATTCACAAATGTCTATTTGCAGTTAAGAATATTGAAGAAATGTGCTCCATCAGGGTTTTTGATGGAGTTACTCAATTTTCACCTTTGCTTTCATTTCCAGCCTTCTGCACCAAAATATTTTGAAACATTAACATTTCATCCTCAAATTCTCAAAATGGTATATAAAGAAGGAGCATGATTCTCATAATTGATAACAGTTTCTAGCAGGGAAGTGACTGTGGAATTTGTACAACCATCTTTCTTATGGCTATAGAGCAAGAACATAATTAGCATTTCTATGTTTCTGTATTTGCAATGCATTCATTAAAAAAAATCACACAGCTGAAAAATGTGCTGAAAATTTATACCTTTTACTAAATACTTATTTTAATCAATGGGTGTACGTTTCCAAAAATGTATACATGGAAAATGTGTATATTAATGCCTACATTATGAAAAATGGATAATTATTTTCATGCAAATTTTACTTTAAAAATCACAAACTTTTGTGGAAATGGGTTAGGGTTGGGGTTAGGGACATCAAAAAAATTCTGAAGCAAAGATTGTCAGATTGGTCTATCCCTACTTGCAACATACCAGACTAATGCTAATGGCCATGGTTATGGGTCAGCCAGCAGAATCAATCCATACTGTTTCCCTACTGATCCAGTATATGCTGTTAGAAGTGTTGCATGAGCTTACCCCAAATAAATTTGTTCTGAATTTATTTAGAAAGTATCAAATCTATCCACATGAGTTCAGTTAAAACTTATTCCATGTATATAAGTTTTTGTGCATGCACAATATCAAGGTGGACCTTAACAATCTGGAATTGCCTAGTGTAGAATGATATCATGTGTCAGACCCTTTTCTGGCACCCATTCTCTGGTACTATGGTTGTTTTCGTGTGACCTGCCACTTTCATATAATTTCTGCCCATTGTCTCCAGTCATGGGTATGAAGGGAAGACACATTGTCCTCCTCCTTGTAGGACCAAAGCTAAGGAGTCTTTTCATGTACTTTCTTGGGGGTGGAAGGATCTTGATGTAAGTGAACTGAAAATTTTGGGAGGAGAGAAACTGTGTACTCTGCCTGTTCTGAAGCTCACAAACTTGATAGCAAATTTATAATGTATCAGTCTGGGCTCATTAAAAAAGGTGAGCATTACAAGCAGATGCATTTTGACCAATGAGCTGCTGAATTATGAAATCTGATGGCATCACTAGTTGCAAGCACTGCCACAGAAACTGCATAAATGATTTCTGGATCCTTTAGCAGTTTAGCCTGCAACTCATAGCAATAAAATTATATTTGTTCAAGTTTTTGTAGGAATACTTGTGAAAACAGAAGGTGACTGTGGTATACCCACATAGATTTTGATAGTGTAGAATAAGGAAGGAACTTATTTTTTCCCTGGCAACCTTCTTTTTTTGACTGAACAGGTTGTTCTTAGTTTTACTAAAGCTTCAAATGAATAAGTCCATATTTTATGCAAATTTAATTAGGCTATTTTTTCCAGAGTATCTAATTAGCAAAATAGCTTCAGGGCATTAAGGTATCAGCCGGTAAATACATCAGTGAAGGTTTATGCACATAGAACAAATGAACAGAGGATCCTGCAAAAAATGGATATTTTTAAACCAAAATGCATGCATTAGATACATTTGCATGACTTATACAATGTACTTTACTAGAGCACAGCAAATATCATTTATCCTACTAACATGGCAGATAAATACCCTGGATTAAGTCATACTTACAAAGAATGGTCCAGAGCTGAGAAAGTAGAATTTGAATACAGACATTTCTAAATGTCATAAGACTAGTGGCAGGTGTTCTGGTCCCAAGCATGTCATTACAAAAGCTTTCTAAGTAAAAGTCTGTATTATGTTAAATCTGACTAGCTCTTTGGAATACAAAATAAGACTGTTGCAGAAGTCAATAACAAAAGACACAAGCAAAGTTAGCTTAATGGTCATTAGGGATACGCAGCTTACTGACACAAAGTTGATTCCAGACTCAAAACCTCTCCTTCCAAATAAAAAAAAACCTACCTTTGAGGTGGATCCTGATGCTTATGTGCCAATCTTCTGGAGCTTCTGATGCTTCTCAATTTATCTGCCCTCTCAACATGGCACTATATGATCTGGGTAATGATGCTAGTTCTTCCCTTCCTATATCAGCTAACTCACTAGACTTTCCCATAAAATTTGAGACACTTGGTTCTCAGCAACTGCCTAGCTCATCTCTGGGTTTGCCTCGGCAAGTCAGCTGAGAATTCCAACCCTCTAGATTTGTATTATAGGAGGAGAGGACCCACATGAAGACTTTGATTTGATTCATTAGGAAGTGTGTGTTGCTCCCAGTTTTGCTTCCCAGCACATGATAGTACATGATGCAACCTTTTTGCTGAAGCTAAATAAGTTTGGGTCTAATATATGCCCTGATAGGAACCTAAATGGAAATCCCATGTTTGTTATCACCAGTTCCATAATGGAAGAAGGCAGGATATAAAGATAATCAATAAACAAATGTTGATTCCATTAATAGACAAGCAGGTCTTTCACAATGTATATTATGCATTTTTATTGATGAGCATTTCTGAATGTTTGAGATGTAGTTGGCCACCTTCACTCACATATATTTTCTTTTTCTGATCTATTTTGTTGCAGGGCTTAGGAATTGAGGATGCAATCCTAAGCATGCTTGGACAGAAAAAATCCTGCTATTCACAACATTCCCTAGTCAGCCATTCTGGGAATGCTGCAACTCATGCTGCTGGCAGGAGAATCCTGCAATTCCAGATTTTCTGTCTAATTGTGCATAGGTTTGTGGCTTGATAGCCTTTTTCAATGACATTTGATTCTGTAGCAGCCAGAATTGAAGGCCTCTGAGCTAGAACTAATTCTGACCAGACATATTGCAAGACAGTGGGAAGGATCCAGTGACACATTGCTGCTGGACTAGCTGCACTGTGGAAACATTGGTTTCTGCTAGTGCAATGACAATTAGTGCTTGTTGGTCCAATGAGGAAGGCATTGGCCTTTGCTAATACAGAATAAGTAGTGCCAGTGGCTGGACACCATAGGATCCCTCCAATCCAATTGTGTCAAAAAGAAGTTTTTGTGCTGCTGTTGGAATAATTGCTTATTTACTGTTGTTGATAGTCGTGAAGTCGTGTCCGATCCATTGCGACCCCATGGACAACATTTCTCCAGGCCTTCCTGTCCTCCACCATCTCCCGGAGTCCACTCAAGCTCACACCAACTGCTTCAATGACTCCATCTAGCCACCTCATTCTCTCCCATCCCCTTCTTATTTTGCCATCTATTGTTCCCAGCATTAGGCTCTTCTCCAGGGAGTCCTTCCTTCTCATTAGGTGGCCAAAGTATTTGAGTTTCATCTTCAGGATATGGCCTTCTAAAGAGCAGTCAGCGTTGATCTCCTCTAGGACTGACCGGTTTGATCGCCTTACGGTCCAAGGGACTCGCAGGAGTCTCCTCCAGCACCACAACTCAAAGGCCTCAATCCTTCGGCACTCAGCTTTCCTTATGGTCCAGCTTTCACAGCCATACATTGCAACTGGGAAAACCATAGCCTTGACTATACGCACTTTTGTTGGCAGGGTGATGTCTCTGATTTTTAGTATGCTGTCTAGATTTGCCATAGCTCTCCTCCCAAGGAACAAGCATCTTTTAATTTCTTGGCTGCAGTCCCCATCTGCGGTGATCTTGGAGCCCAGGAAAATAAAATCTGTCACTACCTCCATTTCTTCCCCATCTATTTGCCAGGAAGTGAGAGGATTATTTACTGTACATGCGAGCAAATCGTTAAATGAGATTTGTCCATTCCTTAGCTGATATATGTCTAGTATGCCGGATGTATCTGTAAAATTGTACAACAGATAGTAGCCTGGTAAGTAATCCTACCTTATAACCAATGACAAATAGTTTCAAGATTGCTTTCATCATAGTGATATATATTTCTTTCATTTATTGCAGTTGTTGAATATTCTGTCCATCTGTATACTGGAGACAAAAAGAAAACTGATGCCAGTGGAGATGCTTATCTTTGCATTCAAGGGGACAGGAGTGACTCTGGGAAACGATGGCTTAACAATTATAAAAAAGGTCCAATCACGTTTAGTAAAGGAGAGGTAACTATAACTTTAACTGTGACTAAGTACGTATGCATAACTATGGTCCGATTATTTTAATAACATGTCACATGTCATTCTTTTCAAGGGAGAATAGTATATTTACAATCTTAGTATCCATATAGTAATCCACCTTTGTAAATCAGAAAAAAATCTAATAAAAATTAAGTAACTGGTTTTAGTGAGAGACCTAAGCATTGGATTAATATTTCTCTAAAGGAAACCAATGGATGTTCATTTAATTTTCAATTGATTGGTTGCCATTTTGATTTCTGCTCTTCAGTAAACAGATATCGGAGAGGGAAAATACCATTTATAATTATTTTGTAAATTTATCGAGCCAATCCCGTTCTGTATCACACAGATTACCATGGTTGGTGGTGTTAAATCCAAGGCTGGGATCTCCTTCATGTGCTTTGTAAACCACAGTGAATATCTGTGCTTTGTTGTTTAGTTAAAGTCCATTATCCAGTCATCATTTTTCCATGTATTTGCAACATGCCTGGTGAATAAATTGTTTAGAAGACTGGTTAGAAGCTATTATTCTATGTTGATCCAATTATAAATGTTAGAATGCAGGTGTACATGCTTGCTTGCCCTCCCTCCCTCCCTCTGTGTGTTTGTGTGTGTGTGTGTGTGTGTGTGTGTGTGTGTGTGGCAAGTTAGAAAAGGGAGAAGATGTTTTGAGGGGGAAGGGAAGGTGGGGAAAGTAAAAAATAATGGGAAGTAGCTCTAGTATAAAGAAATACCAGGGGAATTTTTCCATGGGGAGGGGATATAAGCTGCATAGAAGATATAATTTCTGCTCTGTGTGTGTATGTGTGTGATGGAATGGATTTGTGTAAAGAAAAAGAGGCACATACCTAAAGGATGATAGCATATGGTTTCTTGGGTCAAACCAGTCTAGCCCAGGATCTAAAATCTGACTGAGGCCCATTCTTCAGAAGAAAGGCAAGGTCACTTTGCGTAATAACCAAAATCCATCTGATTTTCTTCATTTCATTCTAGAAGTTCTGTTACAAATGAGCAGGTTACTGGAACTTTAAACCACTCCAGGAAATACTGCACTTGTCAAGAACACAATATTCTAATATTTGCAATAAATGTGTACTACTCAATGACACGTAAAACATCAGCTGTATTGCACATTCCTTTATTATAATCTTGTAGGAAATGATATATCATAACTTACCCTGAAATGGTCATTTATGCATGGTTGGGTGAGGAGTAAAATTTTTGTAATGTTTCCATTTTAGTTACTGTCCTTGGATGTTAATGGCAGATGAAACTTGTTTCACATAAACTAACAATATTAACTTTTCTCAAATTGCAGGTGAATGTTTTCAAAATCAAAGCAGTGCACCTTGGGAAGTTGAACCACGTCCGTGTAGGATTTAAAAGTTTGAATAAAGGTATGCTTTATAAATTAAAACATCTATACATATTGATCAGATTGCAATTTGGCAACAAATTCTAGAAAGGTGACTGAACGTGTCCGTAAATGCAAATAGACAAAGGCAACCTATTGAAAGAATTTAGATAGGCATGCTGACTTGAAAGCCACATGCTTTGACATTTTCTCTGCAACACCTTTGATATTTAAGAAACAGACACCTAGATCAATGTTTTACATCTTCAGAAGTAGTAGGTGCTAGGACAGATACATCAAAGGAGGCTTTGCCTATTCACACAGTTCTTAACTCACAACAATTAATAGCTACTGGGATTGCCATCAAGAAGGGCTCCCAGCTAGTGCTCATCAGGAGACTGAGCGCTCCAGCAGGGCCAGGGACTAATCCTGCAAATATGGTGAACAACAGAACCAGAGCAGGCCAGCTCCTGACACACAGAGAACAGAACAGGACTTAGTATTACTCCATAAGCCAAAGGATACAGGGTAGAACGAAAGAGCACAAGTGCTATTGACTGTGTATACCTGGTCAAGCTACCTAGACAAATGCTGGTCATGTGACTTCATACTGAAGAAAATTAATAGGATTATGAAATAGCTAATTTTTCATTTGTAAAATCTTCTGTATTTCTAATTATTTAGGTAGAGCACAAAAACAGTAAGTGGATTAATAGAAACATTTTGGATTTTTTTTTCTTCTAGATGATTGGTTCCTAGAAAAGATTGTAATAAAAGAAGGAAATTATCCTTTTAGCACATATACCTTTGTTCACAATAACTGGATCAGTAAACATTCAACTAAAGATTTTGCAGAATTACAAGTTCCACTGAAAGGTAATGCTTTAATATGTATGTATCTATGTCTGTATGGTAGTAACATGGTATTGACATTAACTTAGCTATAGGACAGGGTCAGAAACACATGGATTGTGGGCCACATGCGCCCCCCCCCCCATGAAATATACAATAATAAAAAATGCTGTCCAGAACAGCTATGCAACACCACAAGAGTGAAAATTAGCTTGTTTTCAGGACTTTGCGACCAGCATCAGCTTGCATTGTTCCCATACTTTCCAAATTAGCCACACCTGCTCAGAACAACCCCCACCCCCAATCCTGAAATAAGCTTATCCATAAGTTCCACTAAGATTTCCAAGTAAGTGTGAAAATGTATTGGAAGCATATTTATTGGAAAATAAATATAGCTCCATATTTATTGAAACATACTTATTGGAAATTAATATAGCTTAAGCCCTCCCAGTTTTGTCCATTTAAAGTACTGTGATGGATCAATTGTATGATCCAGTGTTCAGCTGTTAAAGCACGTAGGATTTGGCACAGATTATCTAACACCAGTATTCCCATGACAGCAGCTTTAGGGAGTACTGACCATACACCATGTATTCTTGGGCCATGACTTCCATATTGGATGATACATGGTAGTACTATAGCTTAACATGAAAGTAGAAAGATGAAATACTAGAGATAGCTGAGAAAAATACTTTGCACTTAGCACTAGCCTTTTAATTGAAATATGTATCATTCTGGATCAATGTTTATTTTTCATCTAGAAATGACTGCAACATTTGGTCCAATTAAAGATTTTGATGCTAGAAGCCAAGGAAGATGGAAAATGTGGGTGGCCTGCACCCATGTTCCAGAAAAAATGTCTGATATAAAAGTGGTGCTGTATGGAACAAGTGGAATATCCGTTGCACAGACAGTTCAGAATTTAAAAAACGAACCATTTCTGGTAGGCTTCTAATTTATAATGATCTTACCACTGGGTAACACACACTGTCTTTACTACTTTGGATTTTCAAGCTTTATCACACAATGCTACATTATGTAAGTGTGAAAGTTTATATTGATATTAGAGTTCTGTCCTGCATATCTAATTATTTGTTGGCTCCAGCAGGACATGAATTTAGCAATGTTCATAATATGAACTAAAATTTTTGAATGGCTAAACACCAGGTACAAAATGAATGCAACCTTATAATACTTTATCAAATGTAATCCGAAGGTGTGTCTTCATATAAAACTATGCATATTTTAGTTCTGTAATTTTATAAGAATTGATGCCAGCGCTGGAGTACCTTGTCTTAGCCCAGGACTGAGAATACACAGAGGCTAAGTTTTCCAGCAGGACCAGCAACTCTTAGAAGTCAGAACCATTCTCTGATCTTTATCAAGTATGGTCTTCCACCTAGTACCCCACAATATGTCCACTCTTACTCTGATAAATGGACCTTAGGCTTCTCCACTGAACAGAAATATGTTGAGGAGCTATCCTCACTCCTCAGGTCCTTATCCTCCGGAAAAAGCCAATAACTTCAGGACAGGGTGTTAGCACTGTAAACAGCAGGTGCAACACTTGAACAAACAGTTCACAGAAGGATTATTCCAGTCAGGTCCATAAAACCTTTCCATTTATAGACCACTGCTAGGGTAACTTGTCTCTCACCAGTTTAGTCTTGAGTCTCTGAGACATTATTTACTGTCCAGGGTGCTGAAATTTCTTAGTCTGCTGTCTTATCTTGTGACCTCTTACTTAAACCATTGTCTCTCTGCAAAACTGGAATTCCTGATGGAACAGGACATATCAATTCCAAAACTGTTCTTAAGACACTGGAAAACAATACATATTTTATAGCTCATTTAACATCATGTAGCTTTCAAAACAGGTGTCTATTTTTTTTTAAGCTCACTTTTGGAAATAACTAACTCTGGGCTTGCTAACCTGCATGAATATCTGGAATATGTTAACAGCACTCAAGATAAACTATTGGGAGCACTGATTGAGTCTGTGAAGAGGAACTGATGAGTGGACTTTCATCAGTGTGCTTACTGACTTTTGCTTTTAACAATTTGTATTATTCGGTTTTTATTACTGCATCTCCGTTGATTCAGGTGCAACAATCTTTCTAACAAATACATGCAGTTTGGTTCAGCATTTTAAAAGCTTATCTAAACAACCTTATCTAGGGTTTTTTAAGATTATTGCAAAGCTAAGGTGAGACTTAAGGTGAGATTTAAGAACACAAAAATAATGTTTCATGATAAATAGAATGTGCAACATTGCAGTTCAGCTAACAGTATTTTCTTTTTTCAAACAGTTGACCATTGGTGATATTGGAAGGATAACAAAGATTTCTTTTATATTATCAAATCTAAGCATGAATAGAGGACTTAAACTTCACAAGGTACCTTAGATATGGTCTTGTATAGCCAGTTTACTATAGTACTTTAGCAGAATTAGATTGTAAAATGCAAGGTTCATATTTATATACTATTATATAAGCTTTAAAATAGACTTTTGATAGATTATTCTATTTATGCAAATATATAGTTCAATCTACCTAGTCATAAGGAATAAGGTCATAAAACAAACTAATTAAAATACTAAAAAAAACCAAGATAATTTAGCAACATCACTTGCTAACATGTACACACTGGTTACTAAACATTCCAGCAAAAAAAATCTAGATGATGATCTACAGGATGGTTGGGCTTGGACTAATACAAAGAAGAAGAGGCATCAAATTTGAGAAGTAACATATGAGCATACTTTGTTTATGCTTTGTTGTAGCATGTCATTAAGATAATATACCAGAGACAATGTCCCATGATTAAACCAAAATTCATATCTGAACATACAGGAAAAAGGTAGTCTTTAACAGATCCAAGCAATCCATTACTTTGTGGAAACAGAGGAGCTCTTCTAATAATCCCTAGAAGATTATTCCAATACAGACTTTGGAAACTGTAACTCAACCCCATTAGGAAGGCCCTGTACAGAACATGTTAGTGGAATTGAACTCAAAGGCACAAAGGTATGAATGATAATTACTAGAACTGAATATCAAAGATAAGGTTCAAATGGAGTTGATAAAAAGCACTCCTGCTGTACATATATACCAAGACACACTGTCAGGTTGTAACCCTGAGTCATTAGGAAATCTTCCTTCCTAAGTTACAGTCATCCTTATTTCAGTCCTTTCTGAATTCAACTTTGATTGTCTGGATTACATCAAGTCCCTTTATGTGACTGACACTAAAATAAGAATCAACCCTAAAGAAGCTGAATAAGATAGAAAAGAAGAGATCGAATTAAATTCATACAGTGGACTGATAGCAGCAAACTCTTGGACTGGATCCTGGTTGAGTCGTGCTTCATACTTACAAGGAAGTCAATTGAACTTAAATTGCTCATGGCTAAATTGAGCCTGTTTCACAACAAGGTGAAAGAAACAACTAGGGCAAATTGTGAGGGGGATTTACGTGGACTTACATCTACATTAGAGTTTGCCCATAGTTGTTCCATTAGTAGGACCACCAAAATCACTGAGGCGCATCGATCTAGAAAGAGAAGGATTTAAAATGTTTAAACCTGTTAAAAAACTCAGTGACAATGGTTCATGGTTCAGCTATATTAGCCATGCAGGTAAGTTCCACATAGCAATGGTCTCAATACAAAGATGTTTTATTCTCTCTATATTGCCTTATAATCACAGTTTGGAAAGGAGGTAACACAGTAACTTGAAAATTGTCCTACATTGCTTGTACATACACTGTTTTCCTCCTCATGTTCAGTAACTGTATATGAGAATCCATTCTCTGTGAGTGTCAATCTACAGCTTTACATAAGCCCTGAATTTACAATGTAAAAATAGTATTTCCCTGAGTATAATGGGAAGCATTTTCTCTGCAGTGCTTATTCTCTTGTTATAGTGCCATCTTTTAAAATAAGCTGGGCTTCAAAGCTGTATTAAAAACTTTCAAAGCCTTGTTAAATTTGGTAATAGCTAGTCTGTATGTTAAACATAAAAGGAGATATGATCTTTTCTTGTCTGTATTCATGAAAATAGTGTCACTTACTTACATCTTTCTGGGCCCATCTAGCACAGAAATTTTCAGAATGATCAACAAGAAAACAGAGCTGCTCTGATGAGGGTAGTGTAAAATCAAGTTCACTAGCTGATATTGTCACCCACTATTAGCCTACCCTGCCTCACAGGGTTGTTTTGAGGGTAAAATGACAAGGGAACATGTATGCTTCCCTGAATGCAGCAGCTAGGAGGCTCAGTGGGATGGATACCCAACTATGTTCACATGGCACTTGCATTAAAAGAACTGTACTGTCTGCCTATTAGCTACCAAGCATGCACAAGGTTATGTAGAAACATAAAGTCCAGAATACATGGCAAACCACCTCCCCCTATATACACCCAGTCAACCATTAAGATCTTGAGAGGCCTTGCTGCTCATTCTCTGACCAAATGAATCAAGTGCCCAACCACTAAAAAGACTATTGCTTGTGTAAATCATAAACAGAAAATGTGGTGCATTTCAAATGCCTCTTGCAAACATTCTTGTTCACTAGATCTTCTATGACTTGTAAATAACTTCATCTGCCATACTGCTTTTTGCATTGCTTTGAATTATTAGCACAGTTTTATATTATTTTAATAGTGTACTCAGAATATATTGTTCTGTTGTAGTAGTTCAACTACTTTGAAGTTTTTGTTTAATGCTAAGCGGTATATAAAAATATTGAATGAATAAACAGGAGAATCAAACCAGAAATCAGTAGCTAATGAGCTGCCTTTCTTTCAATACACTATTATGATTCAGAACTGTAGTTTAAACTTCTGTAAGAAATCCATGTCCCCATTACCCCCTGGGATACTGAAGCAGCTTTTCACTAAAAGCAAAGAAGGCATGGGCTTTTTCTGCTTTGTTGTCATTCTGCAGCTCCGGATGAAAGATATGGATACCAAAGAAGAGCTGGGCTTTCACCCTTTAAACCGATGGCTTTTTGAAGAAAATGGTGCAGAGGCAGTGACAGAATTTGCAGCAGTCAGACCAGATGAAATGCCACTTAAGGGTATGTTGCCCAACCACAAGACAAGTGGAAAGAAATGCACTTTCAATGTCAGGAATTACCACAGTAGAAAATAAGACAGAATGATTATTTAATTATTCTACAGGAATAATTCATGACAATTTTTGACATGGAACATCAACAGAGACCTAACAAATTTCAAAATTGAATTTAACTGGATTTGGTTTTAAGCACCATGCATATATTTTTCATTTCTATGAAACTAAATACTTATCAATAATTACATTCATTAGCATAATTTTCTTGCAATTACACAAGCTAGGCAGACCTAAACCAAGTCAGTGGTTGGTCACCATATTAAGTTTTTGCATTACTCAGGGTATAGTTAATTGTAATATCACATTCTCATGACACAAATTACAGGTCTGCACCCACACACTTTTTTTAAAGAGCACTTTTGTGTCTCAAATCTCTAGATTGTATGGCAAAAAAGGAGCAGTCAGTGCACAATGTATTCTTTTCCACTGCGACATCAGAAGGTTGCATCAGTCTCAGCAGCAGAAGAAAGTGATGCCTTACTTTCCTTCATACAGGTGTTATTTTGGTGCACTTCCCTGAAATGGATAGGCCGAACTATAACCTTTGCCAGTACTTTGTGTATTGTATGTGCTTGCCTCCATCTTTTTTGTGTAATCTCACATAGAGGTTTTACTCCACAATAGAAAAGGTATTCTTGTTAGGGGCCCACAGCTCTCCAGTGCAAACAGAAGAGTCTAGGCTGTTTTTCACTGGAACACATATTTCTGCATCATGCAACCTTTTGGATGTTATGAACCTATCTACGTGAACACATAGTCTTACCAATTTGTGGTCCATGTTGTGAAACAGAATCTTAGATCAGATACACTATTGACATAATCCGGCAGCTATCTTCTTCTGTGTATAACTCCATAGCAGTAACTTATGACAATGTAGGAAGAAACACTGCTTTTTCCTCTAGCAACTAGTTAACACATCTAGCATGGTGGCCGTAGCCACATGGAGCTGCCAGTAGGTGCCATGAACTGAGCATTGTTGTTTCCATGTGGCTGCAAAGTGTTCATCATGTTGCTAGAGCCAACATCTGACTGACGCTTCAAGTGGCTACAGCCACTCTGTTCTGAAGGCATCAGTAGGGGACTAGAAATGGGCTGTTTCTTGCAAGTTTACATGCACCACAGTAGGACAAACTTTTCTTGTCTTGCATCATACCAGATGCTCCCTTATGGAGCAATCCTGTGCATATTTGCTCAGAAATAAGCCCCACCCTGTTGAGTGGAGTTTACTGCCCCATAAATGTAAGGAGTAGCTTTAATTACCTCAGTGCAAGCCACTCTTTGTGACTTGAGCAGTGTAACTACCTAGCACATTCCCATTTCTCTGAGAAGTTAAAAGCTACTCTCTCAGATGTGATGACTATGTATACCTTTTGGAATATAACTAACATGTTTTATAAAACCATAATCATATATTGTTTAAAATCTCATTACTCTTAATGGTTTTTAATTAGAACCGACCTGGGAGGATATTTAGAAAATTTAGAAATGCTCTAAAATAAGTAAATAAATAATTGTGCCTCAGTGAAGAACATTGTCACCTCCAGTCTTTCCCACAACTAGTTAAACCCAGGAAATATGTGCATTCGTCTCTTTAATTCTACTGACATCTCCATGACTTAAGTTGCAGGCCTATGGTTTCTGCTTGCCAATCAGTAGGATTCAGTTCTCAATGAACAAGGATCAGGCTATAAGTTTATTTAAACCAAGGAGATCTGGCTTAACTGGATGGAGTAATATATTCTGCTGGGCACAAAAATTGCACATATTCTAGAGAAAGGCAGGCTTAAATTTCATTAAATTCAGTAAGACTTAGAACCCAGAAGTAACTGAATTCCCTTAATGTACCTGTAACATTTTTTAGATGATACATATATCCTTTGCAAAGTTAAAATGGAGAGTCAAGCATTACCAATAGTTTCCTTCATTCAAAACTGATAAATAAGCAAAATTAGTTCTTCAGTGCTGAGTTCTATGTGGGGTTAACACAGATCTTGTTCCAAAAAAGATGATTCAGTCATACTGCCTAAAGACATATGCAGTTCAGAACTATACTTTGTCATCCAAACATCCAAATAATCTCTACAGATGATTATTGTCTTAGTGAATAATATTAATACAAATCGATGCAAAAAGTTGAGCCACTTCCTCACACCACTTTAATTGATAGTGGCTGCAATTATCTAACTGGCAGGCTCAGAGGAAGGCAGCTGATCTGGAACAAACAGCAGGGCTTTAGCATCATTAATTTTGTATTTTCCCTACATGAAAATTAGCAGCTGAGTAAAGTCCTACAATTAATAGAAAGAAAAAGGTAGCTTGTCTCTTGGTTTCTACAAAAACCAGGTCAAGCTTCTTTTAATTGTACCCCTGAGCTATTCTGACACAGTTTATTGGAGGAGGAGGGAGAAGTGTTGACCAGGATTGTCAATTGAGGTCTGACATGGTCATATTAAAATAATTAGCACTTTTCATACACATTTGCAATAATAGTTTAAAAGGCAGATCCAATAGTCCAATATTGGCATCATGTAGAAAAGCCTTTGCATGGGAACAAGCCCCACTGCATTTAATAAGAAAAAGCTTTAACGTAGAGTTTAGCATCCTTTGCTATCCTCAGCTCATTCTCAGCTTTAGCCTTCTAATGTTTTCCTGCACTTACGTGCTAGCTCTCTGTAGTCTTCTTTTATAGCCTGGTATTCCTTCCGTTTCCTATAATGTCCTTTTCAGTTTTTAGGTCTAGTTGAAGCTTTTTGTGGAACTACACTGGTTTTTCCCCTTCTTCTTTTTGTTTTTTGTTGGAATTGTTTGTAATTGTGTCTTCAAAAACTTTAAAAATTTGACTCATCTTTTACTCATTCTCTTCTTAAAGGTCATTTGCCATGGGAGCTTCCTTAACATTGCCTGAGTTTATTCAAATCATCCTTCCCATAGTCAAGAGTATGTGAATGGCTATGCTCCATTTTTGCTTTCTTTAAAATCAAGAACTCAAGTATGTTGTGGTCAATTTCTTTGAGAATTCCTGTGACTTCCACTTTATCCACTTAGTTATCCCTATTAGTCACTACTAAGTCAAGGAAAACCAATCCTCTAGTTCCTTCCTCCACTTTCTGTAAAAGAAAGTTATCAGTCATGCACGCCAAGAATTTCTTGGAGCAGGCATTTTTGGCTAAATTTATACTGCAAATAGATATCAAGGTAATTGAAGTCGCTTATTACTTCCACATTACGCTCCCTTGACATACTGGTAATTTGCTTAATAAAAGAGTCATCTTCATCTTTTCTTTGATTGGGTGGTTGTAGAGAAAAATCACCAGAGGACTATTGTATATCAAGGAGTTAGGGTGGTGTGACACAATTGCTCTTCTATACTTACCTTAACAGGCCCACCCCGTAAAAACTCAGTTGAGGCTCTCCGGAATGCAAAAGAATGTTTTTCTAAGCTGTTTGCTGACCTTGGAACCATCCTTATCATTGTGAGAGCCACAGGCAGCAGATGTGGCTAATTAATTGTTTTGAATAGCACATAGATTTAGGATAGAAAAAAGCCTCGTGGCTTCGCCCAAGGTTGCTCCAGTGTAGACCTGACCGAGGAAGGTACTACTCACTGGACAAAATGAGGGCTTCACAAAGGGTGGCTCCAGACAGCTGACTGAGGAAATCCAGCTTACTTGGTATTGCATTTTCTTCCCCTCCACCCCTTTCCACGTTATTGTGCTGGTTTACATTATTGTGCCTGTTTAGAATAAAATCTTTAGACTTTAATCCACCTGTGTGCTCATCACTTCTGGATCCAAAAGAACCCTTTGCCTTTGGCAAAACAGTGGTCAATAGTAGATGCCAACCACCATGTTATTTTAATACATGACATATTTGTTTTGATCCAGATGCTCTTGATGGGGCTACTAGGCTCATCTTCCTCTATTTCCATGCATGGATAATATTGTTAACATATAATGCAACTCTACCTCCTTTCTTATTTCTTCTGTACCTTTGAACAAGTTATATCCTTCAATTGCTATATTCCAGTCTTGGGAGTCATCTCACCCAGTTTCAGTAATACCTATCAAATCCATCCGCAGGCATATGCAGGGTATCCCCACCTCCTTAGTTCCTGTCATAAAATTCCTACCACTCAGTTTCATGGGGTGACTTCAGGTTCTAGTATTATGAAAAATGGAGAAAAGAGAAGAAAAAATGCGGTCAGTTTAAAGTCCTATTTCCTACAGTGTGTTTTACATATTTTCTGCTCCCTTTCCTTTACAGTGGATTTTCAGTTTTATCTAATGGTTGAATTTGCAATGTAAAATTGTGTCATGAATAGTCTCATCAGCTTTTAGTATGATATCTTAACCTTCTAAGCAGCTGCTACCTAACAGTATATTCTACCTCTTCTTCCCTGCATTCCCTTGAAAATAGGTGTAGGGGTTGAGCATGGTCAAATTGCATTAATACCAATCTTATTTTGTTGTCTTAATGCTCATGGGAGGTGTTGTGCTATAAGCAAAGAAAGACTGCCAAACAGTACTGCAAGCCAGTGGCCTTTTTTGCTTGGGCCATCTCTATATTTAAAGCATATTTAAATATTTCTATATATTCATAATATAGCTCTATATCAGGGGTCCCAAACTCAACTTACCTGGGGGCCGCTGGAAGTAGAGTCTGGTGAGGCTGGCCGCATCAAGTGGTGGTGGTGGGCAGCTCATCCCGCGTCGCTCCTGGAGGCCGGCCCGGGCGCCACCAGCACTTTGAAGGCTGCAGGGCCCCTCCCCTGTGCCCCGCCCATCCCAGCAATTGGCCTGCAGGCGCAAGTTTGAGACCCCTGCTCTGTATTATATTAGCAATATCCCTATAAGTTCTGATTTGTTGCAAAAAGCATTTGGAAGAAGACTGTACGTAAGCCTTTTCCCAATCCCACCCCTCTTGAAATGCTCTACATGTGTATGTCTTGCTCACAGACTCACAGAGAGGTCATTTCTGATGAAAAAATGACCAGTTACCATACACGTCAATTAAGTTTGGTTGCATTTCAATACTGAATTGAATATTATTTAGAAATATGCATTGGACAATGATGGAAGCTCCATAGATGAATACTTGTTTTTGTTTTTTTCATTTTCTGTTTGCACAGGATTCTTTGTCATGTTTTCTTTTATTGATCTTCCCTCACAGAGGTTATTTACTCAATCAGTGTCCACACAGGAACATTACCTGCATCAGAAACAGATGCACAGATCTTCATTACAATTTTTGGGGAGAATGGAGACTCTTCCAAAAGAAGACTTAGAAATTCAAAATCATGTGCACAGTTTGAGAAGGGTCAGGTGAGTATGTAATTAGTTTGGATTTCACTTCAGGTGCTTTGCAGATATCTGCTAGAATGCAGACTGTGTACAAGCTACAACACAGTCATTCGTTTAAATGAGAACTATTATAGCCACAGTCCCTGGTATCCCTGGTATTGTCATGTGAAAGCACAAAGAACAGCCAAACCCAAGATTTTTGCTAGAGATATGGCCCCGCTCATCATGGTCTGCAAAAGGTGAGAAAAATTCAGCTGCCACATGCAAAGCCACACTTAAATGCTTGTAGCAAATCAGTCCAGTGATAGGCAGAAGTGGCCAATTTGTTTTATTTGAGAATGCTGGAATGAAGGATCAAATTAGAAAATGAGAAAAAGATGTTCACATTCATACCTTTTCACAAGGCAGTAATCATAAAACTGAAAAACTCAAGGTCCTTTCCAGACAGATTTGTATGTCCTTCTTTGCTTTCTTGCAGACAGATTTCTGACTGATGCACAGTGGTGAAGCCACTCAGAAAAGCCTCCATGGTTCTGGTCCCACAGCCATGGAATTCTCTTATCACAGCTCACAAATCACAGATTTTTAGATGACCTTATATTTAACAGTTTAAATAACTTTGCAAAATACCCCAGTGTGCATAGTGATCCCATTGAAACAGCTGTGTTTAATGACAGAGAAAGAAAAGTCTCTCATCCTTTGCAACTCTGGCCTTTGGGGAATCTTGCCTGAGCTGTGAGCACAAGCTGCCACGATTTTCATTCGCACTGTTTCCTGTACATATCAGTCCTCTTAAGCAAGGCTTATAGAAAATGAATGGCACACCAATACAGACCGAAGTAAATCCATGAAGCTCTGCTGCAGTGCAGACTCCATTCATTTGATGGGCTTTGTCTGAGAGTTCAGTGCAAGATGTAGAAATAAATGGTGCTTCCACAATAGCTATGCTTGGCGAGTTTTGTCTATAGCATGAGACATTTGCATTCAATTCTGAATTCAATTTTATCCTGCCCAAATTCAGGTTTTGATCACAATTCAGTTTGGGTGACAGGTTTAGAAGAAATTTAATGGGTTAAATCTGGTTATGGACTTTCAATTTCTTGGCTAGTTCAGCCTTTGGCTACTCTAATAATAGCTATGGGGAAAGTGTTTCAGAAAGTTGATGATACCCTAACTTGGAGAGTTAAAAGACACCTGACTGGCAACTATCAAGTTAGGGAGTCCTGCTGCTACAGAGGCTGAACTATATGACTCATGCGAACTCTTCTAAAACCTGTAATTCTTCTATTCAGCTGCAATAATTTGCCAAAATTGAATTTAATGCTGCTAGTTCTGTATGCTAGCACAACTGTATGATAGAAGAAGATGAAGCAATTCAATTAAATCACAATGAATAAGGCTGGTTTATATTACTTAAGTAATTATCTTTCTAGCTAAATGCTCTCATTAGTTTAATGGGTTAAATGTGTAGGAAATTGTCATTTGCCTAGCTAAAGCAGAATCTAAATCAGGCAATGCAATTTAAATAAAATGGTTTTTCATGTCATCAGTTATATTTACAATGAAGGGTATGGGTCTTTACACAAAGGGAAAAATTACACAGGACAAAAATACATTCTGACTAACAGGGAAGACTTTGTAGTTTAATCCATCACAATAAGAATTCATTGATAGCAAAGGGATGATTTTGACTATTATTTCCTGAGGACTATGATTTATTGTCATATAGAATGAGATTAATGATAGATCCACAGCTGAATTATGCTGGAAGAGGCTATTGTGTGTAGAACTTTATATAGTGCAGCATACAACTGGATTTGCTGTTGCAGATAACAAGGTCAGAAGTGCTACAGTGTTCCCAAAGTTATTTGCAATACATTCTTCTTGACTGTTGCTGATTTTGGGCCTTTTATGCCTAACATTAAGAGCTGTATTTTGCCATGGTAACTGTTTTGTAAAATGATAAATGTGTGGAAGTAAAACTGGCAGAAATTCCTTTGTACAAGTCAAAATGATATGCTGTGTCTTACCTTTCTGAGAGTGTTGTAGACCACATTCCTATCCAGGCAAAAATATGTAGAACTATCTGTTTTTTAAAAATATAAAAATGTCTTGTATTTTTTTCTTCCTGTTTTATTGCATTTTTCTTCTGGTTGTATAGTTGTTATCAACAGATGACATTATAGCTGCTGCTTTTTCCACCATCCATCTGGTCTTCTTATTACTACCTACAAGTGCCCACACTTCCACCCACTTGTTCATATTCTCTCCCAAATAGGCACACATTCATTCTCTAACCTAATTTATTCATCCCAACATGCACTTTTGCAGCTGGTACCACACTGCTGTTTATTGGAAACTATCATACTATTTAAGGAGATGCTCATTTGAACTAAAAATAATTCATTTTTTCTCATTTACATTAACCTATTGTACTCTCAGGCACTGAATACTGACAACTTTCTGGGGTTGTCATTGACCTTCATTTATGTTGTCCTTGGTATTTAGATCTTGAAATACAGTAAATGAAAAGAGCTGTTTGGCAATAAACAAACAAGCAAGCAATAATTCATTTTCATATAGTACTTTCTTTTCCTTCACAGAATTACAGGTAGCTGGGCAGATAGGCTAACAACTTGCATAGTGTTTGTACATGGCAATTTCTTAAAAAGGGATGTTCAGAGAATAATTTCTATATAAACACTTCTGCCAAGGAACCACTGCAGAAGGAACAAGGGCATACCTTATGGCAGGAGTGGACAGAAGATAGATTTAACAAGTCATCATATACATGCTTAACCAGAACAGGTCCTATAACTCCCAGAAGCCCTTGCCAGCATGAAATGTGGGAGTTCAAGTTTGAAACAGCTGGAGATCTACTTTATGCCCACTCCTGTGTTGGGGTCCACACTTAGTTCATCTGATATATTGACAACAATATACTGATATATTGTTGTTGGGCCTGGCCATGAGCCCCGTATACACACCCTTGCCTAGAACATACCTAGATCTCCCCTGCAACTCTACATGATAGGTCAAAATGGGAGACTTAAGTTGGGGGATCATTGGGCATTGTTTTGAAACATGTTTTTCAGCTTCTGCTTGCAATGTCTAAAATGATTTAGTAATAACAACCCTAATAAGCACCTGCTTTGGACCATTGAGAAATATTACTATTGGGCTCATTAAGTTAATGAGCTAATAAATGTTTCAAGAAGAGAAGGCAAAAAGATTTTAGATTTGATCTGTCACACCTCTAGTTGGCTCTAAATAATGCTTGATATCGAAAAGCTAACCATGTCTGTATTTAAGTATCAGTAAATTGAATTGTAAAATGTTTCTCTTTTCCTACCAGAATTATTTATTCATGATGGGTATGTTTACAATAATGTGGGCATTGGTTCTGTTTTATTTACTTTTTCCAATAGATGAGTACCTTCATTGTCCGGGCAATAGATCTTGGGTTATTAAGCAAAGTGATAGTGGAACACAATAAATCTGGTTATGGAGCTGGTTGGTACCTTGAACAAGTCACAATAAAAGAATTAGAGAAGAATGATGCCGGTTATGTATTCTCATGCCAGCAATGGTTGGACAGTGGAGTTGGTGATGGAAAAATGAAGCAAGAGTTACAGCTTCTTGGAAAAGTCAGGAAAGAGACTATGCCAGAAAATGTTCATGGTGAGATGCAAAATAATCAAAACGCTCTTTCTTTCTTTCTTTCTTTCTTTCTTTCTTTCTTTCTTTCTTTCTTTCTACATGTTATCTTTGTCTTTCCAGGGCAGATCTGAAAATAAAAATACAATCCATATATAATACAGGTTTATCATGAATAACATCTTTTATGCAGACTGTATCCCCTTGGTGTTTTGCCAAGCTGGATAATGAAGTTATAATGTTTAAAGAAGGGAAAAATACAAGAAGTATAAGCAATGTTTTAAAATGAGTGTTGGGGGCTAGATGCAGCAGAGGAACAAAAGGAAAAGAAAACAGCAGATTTCTCAAGTGAAAGCAATTATAAAACAAAAGCTGTTTCTGAATGTTTTTCATATGTTCTAGCAGTGTGCTTTATTCCACCCCCAACACACAAGTGTGTGCTTGTGCATGCACACACATACTTGTATGCACACATGGATGTGCACACATTCAAATTTTTAAATTGCAGTGAACTAAATTAAGAGCAGACATCAGTAATGTATTCAGTTGTTGGCATAAATGTCAACTGTATTAGAACAAAATAAATATACCATAAGATTCAGCAACCATTTATTGAAATACAACATTGTTCCCTCTCCTTAGAAGTTCCAAAACTAAACAAATTATTACTGTGTTCTCTCCTGGATAAAGTTGCAACCATATGTATACTTACGAAGAAGTAAGCCTCATTAAACCCAGTGAAATTTACCTTCTGATCGTATTCATGTTGTGCTGAAAGTCTGTTATGTGTATGTTACTTATTTATTAATAATATTCAAATGCTGGCATTCCAAAGCCAACCAAAGCAGTTTACAGAAGTTCAGAAAATAAAAATATCAAATAAAAACAGAGCACAACATTAAAAGCTATTTTAAACACCATAACAACAATGGTTAAAAGCCAAGTTAAAAAGTTGATTTGTTTCTTGAATGCAGAGAGACTGGAAACCGAGTACAGCTTTAGAAGTGTCTTCCAGAGATTGAGAACACCACAGGAGAATGCCCTTTCCCACATGTCAGACATTTCCACAAGGGTTTCTTCTAAAGGACCTCACCTGCTTTATTTATCACTGTTCTATGGGATAAAAATTCTATGCTTTCTAAAAGTATAATCGGCAGGAATATCAGAAGAGAAACTTTATCCCTATATATTGATGCTGCCACATATGGGCTGCATTTGAACAGATGCGAAAACATAATTTAGCATGATCTGCAGGAGCAGAAATAAATCACAGTGAACTTGGGCTCCTCTTTCCTTCTCCCTGTTTTGCACAGCTGGGACAAGGAGTCTGCAGCTTTTACTTCTGCATTCATTGCAGGAGGGAGGGGGAAGCACACAGCCCCAAAGCTTACTCTATTCCTGCTCTTGCAGGTTATACTAACTGTGGCTAAGCATGTTATTTGAATGTCTACCTTCAAATTAGCACCAGCCGTAAGTCTTACACTAATTAGCAAGACAAGCCATTAATTAACCATTGTAGTTATAAATATTTGTGGGGAACTGATGGTGAGAGTCAGCACACAGTGGCCCTGATCCAAATTGTGTCCATGTATGGTTACAATAGAGGTTAAAGCAACAAGTCAAAAGCCCTGTATGGTTTAAGCTGTACAATCAGCATAATGTGTAATTTGGCTCTAAATGAAGTTTTGATTAAGCAGTGGAATGACAATAATGAGGGGCCAATTGATTTCCACTGTTTGGGTAAAACTTCTGTGACCTAGGAGCTTTGTAACCAATTTGTCTAATTTCTAGAAGAAAATGAATATTTCAACCTGGTTTTCCACATAGAGACTTTCTATTAAAATGCCATGGTTTGCACAGAATTTTCCTTTAAGTGGACCTTAATTAATATGTTGATGAATCTTGAGCATGGACACATAAGAATAATCCCATACTATGTATATTTTTGCACATTATATTCTATTCCTGTATAAATAATATACTGTAAATTCTTACACAGAAATAGATTGTAAAAATTGTTTTTGTTTTGTTTTTGTTTTCTTTTTGTTTCATTGAAAGGAAAGTATATTCCCCATATCCATACCAGGATGAAAAAATATACTGACATAGATATTAATTTGTTAGAAAATATATAGGTTCTGCTAGACAAGCATGATCATGTATGTATAAAAATGCAAAGTGAATGATAGAGATTTAGGCTTAATAGAAATGATAGCTGGAATTCTTCTAAGTGTGGTACAATGGATACAGAAACTGAACCCTAAAACCAAATTTTGGAGTTTTGAAAGTATGATTCACATCTTTGAGATCTCTGTGTGTCCTCCTTATTCCTGTCTTGAAATCATTCCACTCTTTCTGGTCAACAGAAATACTCATGTCTTATTGTGACATTGCAAAATAATTCACAGATTTGGAATACTCTTGAAACAATCAGTAGCAACAAACAAGTGGTACGTTTTGTGTAATCGAAAGGTCAAGTGTCTTAAATGTCCAGCCTTTTGCCCATCAAGCTTCAAAATTATATGGCAATAATCAGGCATGCATTCTCTGCATTTCAGTTTTCTCTAAGAATTTCAAACAAACTTATATTTGTTATTGATTTCTAGGGATTTGGGATGTCACCATTGTACCTAGATGCATTTCTGTGAACCTAACATTAACTTTGACGGTTTGTGATGACAAAGGTTCATCTGCTTCAGTCTTAATTTCCAAAGGATCATTTAAGAGTGCTGAGGCTTATCATGCATCACTGCAACTAGATAAAAAGTTTAGTAAGATATACAAAGTTCGCTTGGAAGTTGAAGATACAGATGGAGAAACATGGTGTTGCCGTGAGGTAAAGCTCAATCATGTGTTTTGCATTGTTGCATGGAAAATTATTTACATGACCTGTAGTTCTGATTTCCAGTAGCAGCTTATAGTTGGGCTTAACAATTACATAACAGTCTTCACATAATATTCAGAATTTATAGATGTAGTGTTGAATCCAGACTTAGTAACATGTGGAGTAAGCTTATGGAAATAAATGGTACTTAAATCCCTGTTCCAAGTCATGACTTACTCAAGTCCCATTGATTGAATTTTTTTTTCTCAAAATATGACTAGATCTAGATCTGGCAGATTATATAATGATTTCCATGGTATACCCAAATTGATTGTTTTGTAACAAGAATTTGAAATAAATATATGAATAGGAAAGAGAGCATGTTATTTCTCCCAGATTCACTTCATGAAGTTGTTTTCATAAGGGTCAGGATAGATAAAAGGAAATACTCAGCAGAAATAAGTAATGTAGAGATTTCACTAGAATGGTAGCTGCCAGGTTAGAGGGGAAAAAAGAAATGCACAAAATCCTCATATGGGGGACATCATTCAATGGCTGTTAGTACTGGGATATCTTATTTAGAGGCACAATACTGAGAAATATATAAGGAGACCAGTCAGAAAGTGTAACTATTGCTTTCAAGTTCTGCTTGGAGCTTTTTGAAAAGTGCCCACCTGGACATTGCTTGAGGCAGAATTTTGAATCAGTTGAACCTTGGTCTGAAACAGGAAGGTCCTTCTTTTGTTCTTATATGTTTGAACAGAAAAGTCCTCATATATATATCTGGGTCAATTGTGCCAAGCTGCCATTGTAGACAGCATTTTCAGTACTACCTTTGTGCAGCAATTGTTCCTGGAAAGCGTGACTCTATAGCTACATAATTCCAAATTTGGTATTACATTCTGGTGCTGTAACCCCCACACACCTAACAAAGTGAAACAGTCAATGTCTTGAAAAAATATGTCCCATGTAAGCTGAAATCCAGGGGAAGATGCAGAAAGCCAAAGCAACAGTCTCTTCAAAGATGTTGAAGATGCTGAAGATGCCATGGGGCTGATCAATCACATCAAAATAGCTATGCCACAAAAAATGCACTGAAAGTTTGCTTACAAAATAAATATCAAAATGCTTCTGTATCATGGGTGGGGGGCGGGGAGGGGAATCTTTGGCATATTATAGTCTCCTCAGCTAGATTTGTTCCATTCCAAGGAGGAGGCAGAGGAACAGAGTCAGGCAGGTAACTGCAGTTTAAAGGTTGCCCGGTGAAGATTCTCAGAGTGTGAGAATCAACCTTCCTGGGAAAAGGAGTGTGACTTTTCAGAACTGGTGGGGAAGGAGATTCAGCAGGAGTTCCTTGACCTAGTCAGGAGAATACAGGGGAAATGGGCAGACCAATGAAGAAGTATCCAGCATTCCTGCCATCTGGCCCTCAAGCATCAGGAACCATCCCAAGGGTTGAGATAGAAGCTTTTCTGAAAGGGAGGGGAAGAAGGGAAGAATAGGATTCTATTTCTTACACGAGGAGATACTTCTCTTACATCTCAAAGAGAATGTGATGCTGATTTATATGGTTTTGTAACTTGTTAAGCTTTGCTAAAAGGCCTGTGCTTCTAAGTTTCAACTGCTAGAGTAGAAAATTTGCTAGAGTAAAAAAGAGGGAGGGAGAGACCTGCTCATGACAGGTATAGCTTTTAATTGATATGTATGCACAAGGAAGAAACCTTGCATTGTCTATGAAGAATACTCAGGTGCACAATTTGTCAGATATCTGGAAGTTCTGAAGCTGGGAAGTAGCCACCAAGAATGCCTATGTGATATGGCTCTAGATGCAAGAAGAACAGGACTCTTGTACTTATGGATCTGCTTTAGCCTACTGACCCATTCACTGTCTATTCCAGTAGTAGGCAACCTTTTTGAGCCTTGAACATATTTGACAATTTCAGAAACTGTCCTGGAAATCAACAGAAGGTGGGTGCTATGAGAGACAGAAGCACAAATATCATGTCCAAAAGATAGAATGCAGGTAAAGCTGGGATCTGAACCCCAACACAATAAGCAATGTCTCTGGACCCCCAGTATTTCAGCACCAGCAAAAATGTAATTCACAGCCGTTCCAGCTCTTGTTAAGAAAATGTATTGGTTAAAGGAGAGGAGGACAGGGAAAAGCTCCTTGGTGGTCACCAAGAAAGATATCTGGGGCTGCATTGCTGCCTCTCCCTAGTCTACTTCTCCCTAGCCTGCTCCCCACAAACTCAGGTACAGGCGTGTTCCAGCCCTGTCACCTAAGATCCTGGGGAACTAGGAAGCTGAACTTGAGGTTTTTGGCACCTCAAACATGTGCTCTATCACTGCTCTATGGCCCTCAGTGCTTTTTCCCCATGTAGAAGAGGAATTCTTGATGTGTGCAGCTTGTCTTAAAGCTACAACAGAGCTCTGTTTATCTAAAGTCTCGTCAAGTGCATTCAAGCTCTAAGGCAACAGAAGATACTGCCAAAGGTCCTTTGTCAAATGACCATAACACCTACAATGAGACATTTAAAAAAAAAACCCATCCTACAGATATGCATCATAGTCCCAGAGGACATGGACACACACACACACACACACACACACACACTTTAGTTCCACACACCTAGTAGGCTTTTCAATTTTCTTTAAAAAGAAAGGAAAAGAAATAACAGCTCTCCTGCTCCCTCCTCTGCTACTTGGAGGAGTTTCAAATTCAGTTTCTAATGTAACGCTCGAAGTGTATTTGTGTATAGGTCTTTTAGAAATATCCAAAATCCTGCTGGCCATTTCTGAGAGCAAGGTGTAATTATCTTCATGATCATTATGATGCACATTTTAAACTTTGTAAAGAAACAAGGCCAAATGGAGGATACCAGTATTAAAATGAAAAATGTAGGGATGTTTGGTTTTGTGTTTTTAAAAACAGAAACTTTTTTGTACTCTAGCTGGATAAAATAGCATATATTTCATATGTGTGTCATTTTTAATCTATTCTATTGCATTCATTTAGATATATTAATTCTAGACATGGTAGATAGAATCTCACCCTGAAATCTTTTGACACAGAGCATGCTAGACAAGAAGTAAATAATTTAAAAGAACAAAATAGATTGATCTTCAGACTAATGATGCCCATATCATTTTTCTACTTTATGTACAGGTCAAGCTTCAGAATAGAACAAGTAAAGAAATTCTAGAATTCCCATGCCTCCAGGATTTTTCAGAAGGTGAAGGATGCACAGTGGCTGAATTTCCCATTCTCACCGCTGGCAGCCAGTTTTTATCAGGTTCGTTACTTGTCAGAAATATCCATTCATTCATTCATTCATTCATTCATTCTCTAGGTGTATTTCCCCCCTTTTTCAACCAAAAATATCCCATAGAAGCTTCCATATGAACAATTAAAAACAGGACAGCCTGTGGCCACAGGCTTAAAATCTAAATGAGATGACATGAAGGGAAAGCAAGGGAAAGATTAAAATAAGTAAATTCAGTCAACAACACTCAGCTTCATAATAGATATTATAATGAGCAGCTGGAATATTCCCACTCAGAAGTTCTATCTGTTTATCAGATTTCTATCCTTCTTTTTTCTTTTAACAAATTTAAAGTGACTTACATTATTATCCTTCTCCTGCTCTCAATCTTTTCTTTACAACAACAACCCTATGAGGTAGGTTGAGCTGAGAGTCTGAGACCAGCCCAAAGACATCCAGTGGGCTCCATGGATGAGCAAAGACTAGAACCCAGATCTCCCAAGACTCAGTCCTGTGCTCTTAACCACTATACCACACAGTCTCCTAGCACTACCAATGAAAAGATATTATGCAGTGACAAACTCTCTTCTTTCTTAACATATGATTTGTTGAAGGAAAAAAGCTGTAGGAAACCATAGGAGGGTTACAAGTGGAAGACAATGATAGCTGGGGAGCTGGAGACATAAAATGGTATGAAAGATGGCAGGGCAATGACACTTCTGGAATGGGAAGGCAACCATTGCTCTGCATGGTCCTGGAGTACCCTGGCTTCCCATGCTTCTTTCTGCTGCATCCTGACTGAATGGCTGCTGCCAGGTGACAGATCAGTGCTAGCAAAGTCACAAGAGTTTGTTAGTTTTACTAGGAAGAGTTAGCTAATATTTACTAACTCTTATCCTAGCAGTTGTTTTCAGTGAACAACCAGCTAGGATAAGAGCACTGTGTAACTGCAAAACTGTATAAAGATTACATTTTGTGCTCCACAAACACAGATGATAATTCCTGAAAATATTACTGTTTGTGATGCTTTTTTCCTCACCAACAGGTGTTGAGCAAAGAAAGGGCTACAGAAAGACAGGCTTTTATATAATCCCTGCTCCCTGAGAAGGTTTAGTCATTCTGTAGAAGATGATATCAGGAAGTGTGCTTCTGCTAGGACTGCCTTCTGTATGGATTCCCTCATTTGCAGCCAGTAGTCCCTTTCTCTCACCTTCACTCATGCACTCATCCTCCAGCTGATTTCACACTGAGTATGGCCTGCTTCTTCCCACTTTTATGGGGTGGGAGGGCATGCTAAATGCCATCTTGACAAACCAACTCCTATGAAAAATGGCTGAAAAAGCTGGGTGTGTTTAGCCTGGGCAAGAGAAGATTAAGGCAGGACATGAACAAAGTCTTCAACCCTGCCACGCAGAGGATGGAGTAGACCCTGCTGTATTGCTGAGTGGAAGTTGCAGGGCAGCTGGGCTAGGCTAAATGTGAGGAGGAACTTCCCAATGGCAAGAGCTGTTCAGCAGCAGAGCAGACTGTTGTGAGTAGACAGCCATCTGTCAGGAGTGCAGTAATGTCACTGCAGCTTCTGCAGTGAAAGACTAGCTGACCTCCAAGGCTGCTTCTAGCTCTATGAATCTAAGAATGGAAATATTATGCTCATTAATTGTATGCATTTATGCATGAGATTTAGTGCCTCTTTCATTTTCTTCAGTTAAGCCTTACACTTTGTACATCTCTACGGGCTCATCCCCAAAGTCAGGAACAGATTCAGATGTGTATGTCACTTTGAAAGGATCGATAGGAGACACTGGCAGGAGGAAATTGCCTAGGAATGGGGAGGACAGTTTTGCCAAGGGGAAGGTAAGTTGTCAGGAGTGCCAGCTCACAACTTTATTAGTTTGCAATGTCTTACCTTCTAAAAACTGCATGTATAACAATAATGTTTGCTATGCACTTGTCTTAGCATGCCTTTGAAAAACAATGCATAAATGTGCTTTGAATGAAAATATGAACATCAAAAGTTCAGCTCTTTTAATTGCCTAATTCTATTGTTTTTAAATCAGTAATCATCCAAGTGATCAAAATCGCACCACACACTACTACACTGAATCTTCAGTACAGTTTTTCACAAATAAAATTGTGCTTTGCTGTGATTGTAGCAAGTAGTACAAACCTATGAATGTTTACTGAGGAGAAAGTAGCGCTGTATTCAGTGACCCTTATTCCAGGAAAATATGCTTAGGATTATGACCTAGATTCTTTAAAATGTAAATGCTATCAAATTATTTTGTAATAAATGATTCAATCACTGCTTATTTGATGCAAGTAATTGATTATGCTACTGACTATACTTTGGAAATAACTATATTCACCCAAACTTGCTATCAGCTTCTGGTATTCAGGTCAATCCTTCAAGTACTATACTTTGTAGTATGTAAACTTTTAGATTTAAAACATCTACAGTGGGCTCCCTAAGAAATATGCCATGATCGTATCTGATGCTATAGGTAATATTTATGAAGGCACACCTGCTCTTCACTACAGAAAGACATTCGACCACATATCCTCTCTATGAACTGTTCGATCTGCAGAAGATCAGCTGGACTTACTCAGATCGTTAGGAGAGTGGCTGCTCTCAGGGATTTTTATAATGGAAATATATTTGAGGCCATATAATGTTTGTGGAATATAAGACCTCACCCTGAGGTTGGACAAGGGAAGGATCTTTATTACCCATACGACATTGACAGTGGATTTACTTAGCACAGCCCCACTTCCAGCTTATCTGTTTCCTGAAAAATGCTGCTGCGGCCGGATTATCTAGCATAATGTATCCTAGGTCACCCGGACATCAGGGATTAAGCTATAGCCCCAGGTTATGAACCTCAAGGAAAGCATAGCCTTCAGTTTCTTCACACATATTCAGCTGATCTTTCATGAGTTTGGATCCTCCAGCCTATATCAAATGGAGAGATAAAACCAGGAATTATTAGCATAGTGACCACATTCCAGCCCACATCTATGAAGAACTTCATTCATCAGTTTTATACAGATGTTAAAGAAAACTCATGCAAGACCCCCCACCCCAGCCACTCCCAAAGAAAAAGGTCATGGGGCAGAGTGGGTGTCTCCTCTGGAATGTGTCATCCACAGCTGAGCCAATGTAGTGAAGTACAGTATTTTCCCCACCTCTGCCAAAATCTATCCATAATTCCCAAAAGAACAAATGGAGAAATTATACAAATAATGTTTTTCTTTGATGGCTCTTTAAAATAGCTGTGTAACAATTTAAATATCTTTTGTGCATATTATTGTAGCAGCTGGTACTGGCACAGTGGCTTCCTGTGAACAGCTCTTGCTCTTTATGGTTCCCACAGTGGCCTCTCTGTCCCCAAGAATGCCATGACACAGCCATCAGGAACACTGGCTGGAAATTATGGGAGTCCTACTCCAACACACCTGGATGGGCCAGTCTGAGGAAGTTTGCTATAACATAAGAACAGGTTGCCCAGCTTAAGCTACAAGTTGCAAGTCTATGAAGCCTTCTTTTTGCAAAACTGCATCTGTGCATCTACTCATTCAGTGACAATGCTGTGAATAATATTTCCTTATATTAAGTTCATAGCATTGTAATTCCAGTTTCCTTTAAACATTAAAACAAGGATGCTTTTATAATTAACAAAGAAATTAAGCTTAATTAAGTGACATATTAATAATGTTTCAGTTCTTTTTAAAAAAAATAAAAGTAAAAAGTTTTCCTATTTTTCCAGTTCTATCTACTGATATTGCATGTATAAGAAGTTAAAAGAAGGGCCCCTCAGAGAAAGAATGCATTGAAAATATAGCTTCAATGTCTAAAAGAGGAAGATTGGCAAGAACTAGCTATATGTGTGGTCCTATTGCAGCTATATCTATTCATAGATGTCCCAGTTTTGAATGTAAGGAAGCTACACTTTATGCCTCTTCCACCAGGATCCATCTCTGTAATTCTATTTTCAGAAATGAAACATCTACAAAAGAAAGAAAAGAATAATCAGGGCACAAACTGGGATTCATGAATCTCAGTTAACCAGAAAAAAGAAAAACCACCCTGAAGCCTGGTTAATCGCTTCCTCTAAATTCCAGTAAAAATATTTAAAATGGAATGTTGGGATTATAGTAAATGACTATGAATTGAGGCTGGTAGGAAAACATTTGACATTCAGGACTTCAAGAGGAGAGATACAGAATGTGTCTGGATTTACCATTTTAATTTCTGCTAGGAATATTTTTGCTAACTAGCCATCAACAACATCCAAGTCTGGACTGCTGAGGGTATGTGATGTTTATGTAGGGACTGTTTACTGAGAACCTGCTGCTTCTGTTATTCACTACTGCTGCAGTGAAAAAAAAAGAGAAAGCCTTCAGGTCTGACATTGATGAGTGCAGGATACAGTCAACTCAGGTTAAAAGATGTCAATTAGAATTCTCAGAACATGGGGTCTAGGGAACCACAGCCGTACATGAAGGTGACCTTCCATGCTCATGCACACACAGACGCACTATATGAAACTTGAAATATTTCTTATAGTGGATGGGAAAAGTATGAAAAGGTTTGCTATGGTTTTAAGTGGCATTTCAAAGGAATTTGCTTGCTTCCATGAGAGCAATAAAATGCCAATTTGGAACTTTGATCTTCTTTTTTCTCAGAGCTTCTCTTCATGATACTTTTATTACATGCTTGTAACTTCACTTACGGTAGCCTGTGGAGCTTAACAGGACATCATCATCTATAAGGGCCTCTACCATGCTCTCCGCTCAATTTCTTGCTTTTTTGGGTTGGGATAATGATCTATTATTTAGCTATCATGTTAAATCATATTAAAATAAGTTCTAGCTCATGTATTTCTGTAATTGTGCACCACCTTGTGGTTCCTTAAATGAACATACAGAAAGGCAAAGAAAGATAATTCCTGGAGGTAAAAACCCACCAATAAAGGATGTGTTCTTACTCCTGAAAAGAAAACAGGAGGAGGAATAGGAGGACGCAGCCTCTGCTACCACTGCCTTGTTGAAGCATCAGGTTAAATGCTTCATGTAGAGAAGCTCTCAGAGAAGGAACACTTTCCAGCATTATGTACTCATCACTGGAAGGGCAGTCATGTTGATTCGTTATAGCAGGTTTTTGTTCCCCGTGATTCTTTAATGATGCTCCACTGAATCTGTCACTCTCATGCTTAGTTCTGTCTTTGAAAGCAAGCCAAGCCAACAAGAAGTTCATGAACACTCCTGGAATGAAAGTTGTGGAACCAGCAACCTTTCTTCTGTGTTGTGTGCAGCAGCACAACCAAAGGCTGCTGCATATGACATGGAAGAGGGATGCCACTTCTGCAGCATTCATATGGGCCTGATTTCTGGCAGGCACCACATTAACACTGGGTGTGCTCTTCAGGAATCTGGATTCATGATCACAACAAAGGAGAGCGAAGTCCAGGGAGCTGCCTCCAGGAAATTCAAGAGATTGCCCACCACAAAAATGGATCCCTCACAAATCTCTTCCTATATTTCACCTGTGTCATTCATGTTGAAAAATTCAATGAGAATGTTATGAAGTATTATACAGCAAATTTCTCTTTCAGTGCAGAGGTTGTTTCAGTGTTGTACATAGGGTGGTCATGTATACATTGCAAAAAATCAGAAAATGGATCACTGAAAAATAAGACAGTAGAGGGCACAGTTCTGCATAAAATTTGAATAGGTGCAGATACAAGTTTAGAAATGATTAGTACAATATAAATAGAAACCCATCACATCCCACCCTAATAACAAGGAGAGTGACCTGTGTCTGCAGTCTGCCATCCTGGTGCTCACTGCTGATGGGCAACTTCAGGTCTCCTGCTCTCCCTTCTGACTGTTCTTTATCTTTATGTCAAACTTGGACTGACAACCCTTTAAATAAAGGACATTCCACTTTAAGTAGGACATAGCTAGCTTGTTAACAGCTTGAACAATAAATCAGTTTTGTGACTATATAGATTATCCAACCACCATCATAACCTGCTTATCTCAGACTTGTCCAATTAAACATAATGGGATTTACGCAGTGAATTGTGAATTCCACCAGGGTATTCAGAAGAAGCAGGTGTTTTGATATGTTGTCACTTGTGTAAGCCTGCATTTGCATATCAGGGAAATCATCCCTCAGTTCAGCTTTACCCATCAAAATTGTATTTGTGCATACAGCTAAATGTTATGGGTTGAACTCATCAGAACTCTGCAAAGTGGAGCCCTGTAGCAAGTTGGCAGAGAAGGCAAATCTGCTTTAGAGGCCTGGGTTGGGAAACCTTCTGGAACAACATGGGAGATGGTGTTGGAGGATGCAGAGGGAAGGAGAAATAGGCTAAAATCACCTCCTTTCTCTTCTGCCCATAGGAGTTTCCAGATCATGTAGCAAGAGCCACCAAACTCTCCACCAAATGGGAGAAGCCTTTCTGTTCACAGAGCAGCAGATCTGAATCCAACACAATGTGCCTTCTGCTTATAGGAGCTTCTTGTTATCTATTTTATGTGTGTGCCCATGCACACACACCCCAAAGGCAAAAACAGCTGCTATAGTATATATCAATTAATTTTGTTTGGAAGTCAATGTTGTATAACATTATTTTTCTCCTTGCAGAATTGGTGACTCTTAGGTATTCTCATTATTGCCTGTCAACATAAAATAAGAAGGAAAAATTAACCCTGTTCTGTCTTGTATTTAGATGTTTGACAGTTTTATATTATGATAGTCCAGTCAATTCTGTAATTAAAGTCTCTACATGGTCATTGTGATCCTTCCAGGTGGATGTTTTCCAAGTCAAAGCAGTAGATATTGGGACTCTGCATGAACTTCTTGTGGAAAAAGGAAAGGGTTCTGACTGGCACCTCGAAAAGATTATTGTGAAAGAGCCAAAGTTTCCAGGAAAAGAGACACTGTTTATTGCTCAGACATGGCTAAAAGACAAGACTGATAGGAAACAATACACCTCAGTAGCTCTGAATGTTACAGGTCAGAATTATTTGAGACATTGCTTATTTCCTGAGAATCTGTTCTAAAACTACAGAACACATAGCTTTTCCTATTTCTTATAAACCTTTTATATCAGAAGAGCATCATGCAGTTTACCACAGCAACAGCACAAGCCAGCATAGCAGTTAGCATAAAGAACATCAATAAACTGTTACCAAATGGAATAATGGTTAATGGGATCTGTTCCTGTCAGCAGTTGCTTGAAGCCTATCCTATTCTCAGCCATTGGCTAAGTTCCTGTAATAGTATAGAATGTATATAAACATTCCAGCTACTAAGGAGAAAGGTTCAGTATATTGAACATAGGTAAAATAGGCTTTGTAAGTGATAGGCAAAATTACTCCCCTTTATAGCTTATCTCAAGCTTCTTGAAGAACTTTTGAAAAAGTCAGTTATGCTAGATAGTGTTCTCCATGAAACCTGATTTGGTACACTTGGAAAAGGACCCTGCCTACCTCCTTTGCCTTGTCAGTGCAGACAAGGAAAGCTGGCTAGTAATGGCAAAGGCTTTGTAGACGTATCTTTACACATCCCTGCAGCAGTAATCTTACAGATGAGACCTTAAGTCAGTGCTCCCTGACACATAACACCATGCTAAATTTGATACATAAAATTTATTTCTTTATGTTTTACCCTGCATTTCTGCCAAAAAAGCACTCAAGACACCTGTTGTGAGCTGCGGTTCCTCTTTCAAACATTAAGAAGCCACAGAACTTTTTCTCTGCACAGTGTTCTTTATGAACCCCAAATCACCAGTCACCTGGGATGACTCTCTGAGCATGCACAGAGCAGTTTGTTGAACCCAATCTAGTAATCACCTTCTGGGACCCTCCTTATGAACATGTCTGGGCCCCATCCCTTTTGAGAGGGACAGACTGAAAGTATGCGTGCCTCCTTTCTACATGCTGATCATCTAATTGGACTGCTTACCTCTGTGATGCCTCATCATGGGGTCAAGAGCTACAATTGCTTGGTCTACATCTGAGAAACAGCCATGTTCATGGTCCCTCCCTGCCTGCTGTATATCTTGAATATTCTCAGGAACTGCCTGATGCATCTGGCCTTGGGATAAGCACATGCGCTTCTTTCCTCTCAGTGTCATGGCACACCCCATCCTCCCCAATTTCCCTTTGATGTGCTTCACATTCTTATTCTGATGAATTCCAGATAGCAGTCCTTGACAATGAGCGCCCAAAGCAGCCAACCACTATATTCCATGCCAGTCAACAGTCTGGCTGAAGCATTTGGGACCAACTGAATTTCTGAGCAGTTTTCAGATAGAAGGATTTATATGTTCTGCCTCATCTAAAAATCCCTTGAGCTAAGAAACTACACAACTATCTTGGATATCCCTTTGCTTTGCTTTTTGCTTTGCTTTGCATTGCTTAAAGAATGGGTCAGCCAAGTTTGGATCAAGCCTATGGGCTGATTTAACCCTTCCAATGCCAGTTCCTTGAAAATTGCCCCTCCTAAAATTTGCTGTTAGCTACAGGAAAGAGGATTGGTACAGTATCAATTCAATAACACTTATGGTAGGTGATTTAAGTTGGGAAATGGCATGTGTAGAAAGAGTTTTAACCTCCTTTTGCTTAGCTCTGCAGACTTAATCTCTCTCTCTCTCTCTCTCTCTCTCTCTCTCTCTCTCTCTCTCTCTCTCACACACACACACACACACACACACACACACGCACAAAATGTTGGGAAATATCCAAGGTATGAATATGGCTATGATTGATAATGTGAACTGTAGTGGGGCCCAGTGGGGCTGAATGGGTCCTTTCACACACGCAACATATTCTATTCATTTCCCCTAGGATTCTGTCCCAAAGTCTACAAGATTAAATATAAACACTTGATAATAAAATACAAAGTATGTTAGTATCCCATCTAGACATGCACAATAATCTAGATATCCCTTTACACACAAACACATAAATGTGATCTTCTATCTTCTTTTAATTAGAAATTCAAGAAAGGAAAATTGAAGTTGACTCACTGTTGCAGAGACAACAAATGAAATCAGGTAATGCTATATCACGGCAGTCAAACTGAATGTCAGTCTGACTGAATGGAAATTGTCTATCAAAACACTTTTCTTTTTATTTTTTATTATGGCAATGCTATCAATTAGGTTTAAATATATGTCTGATACAATTTAGTGTGAATAAGAGTTCATATTTTAAAGCTTAATATCTTCTACCACTAGTTAATTTAATCCAGGAGCAGCAAAACTCTATAAATCTGAGGGCCAAATTCAGTTATGCAGAAGCTTTCGGGCGGCTCCGTTCTAGTGTTTGGTGGGGAAAAGTTAAACAGAAGTGAGGCTAAACCTCCTATGCCTCCTCCCAGTATATTTTAGTTTAACTCTTATTACTATCAATAGTTAAGCCTTAGAAAAGGCATTTCAGCCTACAAAGAATGGGAAAATGATTGTGCACATACCAGGAAATCACAACTGATTAACAGTTAAGATGAAAGATACCATCGGGGCTTTCTGGGCACTGGTACAGGTAGACAGATGTGGCCCACAGACTTAAGTGTCAACATCCAGAATGTACACCAGAAAAAAACCTCTTTGGTTATATGTCCAATAATGCTCTTCTGTTTTATTTTTTCAGAAGGTTCATGGAAGATTTATTTCACAAAGTGTCGTGAAGATTCAGCAAAAGAATCTGAAAAGTCTTGGGAAAACATTTCTAAACTGATTATGGTGTTTTATGGAAAAAATGGCAAATCTGAACCAATTTCTTTGAAGAGCAAAGTAGCTGATCAAGCTGAGGACAATATAACATTTGATGTAAAATGATATATATTATTTGTCATCTTTGTGTTTCATCATGCATATACATTTTATAGGAATAACAGATAGACACAATCTAGTGGATGCTTAATTTAGCCTTCAGTTACTTCAGGGCTAGCTCTACCATTAGCCAGAATTATGTGAATGCCTCATGTTGCAGATGCTGGGGAGTAGGACAACAATGATATCTTTCTTCTGAACCCGTTAAGCTAGTCTGCAACCTGCATCCCCTAAGCCAGACTGCTGTCTCAAGTAAGATTCCACTACTAATCTGGTCTGTGTCTGTATGTGGAGTGGAAGTGACACTCCCTTGTCCTTTACCTCAAGCCATAACTTTATTTGGCAGGCCCTGAGTTCTTCAATATCTCATGAAAACAGGGACTTGTCAGTGAGATTTCCAGAGCTTTATTGGCCATTTGTGCTCCCTCTGACATCAGAAGGAATTCTAGAAAGCTTTAAAATACCATTTCACTATACTTTTCAAAGCCTGTTGAATCACTGTAAAGATCAATGATGTTTGCTTCCTTCTAGGTGCATTTCCCATCTGATCTGGGAATGCTGTATAAAGTGAATCTTGGGGTTCATCACTTGGGAGAAAGCATATTCCAGTTGTTTCATCACTGTAAAATGCAGAACACAGTAACCCTGGATACCTTTAGTTTGTCTATAAATAAAACGCTTCCTCTTCTTAATGGAGACCGATGGATCGAGTTCCCTGTTGAGTGGCCATTAAGGGAAGCACTTTCAGGTAGGTATAAACTATTGTTAGCTTATAGACTTTATCTGATATTGCAGTTCAAATCCTAACCAAGACAGATTGTTTTTGATTAAGCATTTCATACAATGATATGGTTTTAGTACACATGGCTTTAATAGATATGTATTATAAAATGTTACTGTTTTGAATTACTGTAGCATAACTACATCCTCAGTCTGTGTGTGTTCATGTGCATACACGAGGAAGAAAGAAGGCTAGTGTGTTTATGTTTCAAGCACAAGCTTTAACTGGTTTAATTACTGAGTAAATGTTAAAGAAATGCTTTAATTAATGAGGCTGAGAATTAACAGTCTGTTTATTTCCTGAAGTTGCTCTGGTTCCTGTGTGTTACTGTAAAAAGAAGTAGTTGTGCCTTTAGCAGTTGGCGTAGTACTTTTCCTGAGAATAGGAATGGGACTTGTCTTCAACATTTTGCTGACCCTTCATTCCAAGCCTGTATGTAAGAACGTTAACTGAATATCCAGAAGCAGAAGGGAATCCTGAAAATAACAGGATTACCATAGCTAGGTATTGCATGAAATAATGATGGGCACTGAGACTCATCTATAGTGATGAGACGAGGGAAGTAATATCCAAGCAGTTTCAATGAATAGGGGGTTTTGTATAATAGGTCATATATCACCTTACACTTTATTCATTATATCAAAAATGTACTTATGTTGATGGTATGGCAATATGCAAATTGAAGCACCTAATTCATTGAGCAACTAAAAAGCAATGTTTAATCAACTTTGTGCAGGTAGATAACTGCAATAAAAACCATGTGAAGGACGTTTTATCTTAACATTAAATGGGTCGTGCCTATCCTATGTACTACGCAAATTTTCTTTTCTTCCCAGTTGGTTTTACAATTATTTATGATGCCCTATCCATAATGGGCTATACTGTGTATCCAAGAATGCACTCAATTCCACTGTTAGAGTGCAGATTTACAGATCTGTATGTGATAGTATATAAGAAACCAGATTAGAGAATGAACTGAATCTGAATTGCATTCCAGAAATTTGGGGATATTTATAATCAATGCTGGAAAATTCCTTATTTTAATCATGAATATTAGTAGCCTTACCTAGTTTATTCAAAGTACTAGGTTTAACTTAATTCAATTTAATTGAAGTTAGAGGGGCCATATAGACTTAAAATCTCTGTAAATGATTGGTTTATGAATTTGACTGCCCAGTACTCCCACAATATAACTGAGTTCCAACATTGTAAACCAATCACCCATCTACTATTCAGTTCTTTCACACAATAAAATCATGTTCAGATGTTGGTAAAGAGTTGTCTTCTCAAGAAATCCTTAGTGTATTATTACTAACATTACAAACCAATTTGGCTGAGAGGAAACAGTAGCACAAATTGATTACAATGAAGGTCTTTTCTCAAGGCAAATGTGACATTGAGTGATGAATGGAAGGATTCCCCTGACTTAGTGCATGTGGTGAAGTATTAATGTGATGGTTTCATTGTGCTCAGATTGAGCTTTTTCCGTATGTGATCAGATCCAGATCTTGAACTCGTACTGTCAGACTTTCCCTGCGACTACAGATACTTCTAGACTGTATTGCTAGTAGCGCAGTGGAACTGAAATTAATAGCAATAAATATGGATCTGGGAATGTTGATGTTGCACATTCTGTTTATCATGAACCTATTGTCACTTCACATTTAGTTAGCCCACATCTCCCAGAGATCTGGAGAAGTGAGCCACCCCTAATACTGCCTTTAAATGGAAGAGACTTGGAGCCAATAAAGTGGAAAGGAGAAAGGCTAGTTCCCATTCACTTTATGCCCCTGAAGCAACCTCTTACACAGTTCCATAAGCTCCCCAGTGCATTGGAGCAGATTTAGGAGAGTACAGGAGGTGGCATGTGAAAAGGAAATCAACAAAAACTGTCTGATCATGTTCTTGATGGGTAGTACTCAATAAGCAGAATTCTGTTTGCAGGAACTCTGTATCTAACCCGATATGTCAGAATAAATTCCTACCCCCCACCCCAAAGTACAAATGTCATCATGGACTCTTGGACTGAATAGCGTATCTAAGTATGCTGACATTATGTTTCATGGTTTAACTTTGTATCTCAAGATCAGACAGTACAAACAAGTACAGTTCATCATGCTTATTTGTTTATCAACACTTTCCCACTATGATAAATGAAACAAATCACAATGCTGACTCAGGCTGTATCCACATGAACTAAAATAAACCAAATTAGATATTTAGATAGGAGTTGTTTAGAAGGATGTTTCTTCAGTGCTGTTATATACTATATGGGTTGTTTAAGAATGGCATTACTACTTAGATTCACACAAATCATTTATTTTAGCTGGAGACGGAAAAGAAAGTAACTTATTTCCAATTTGAACCAAATTAATTCACACATTCTAAACTGATATGTGAACTAGAACATGACTGTCATTCACTTTTCACACTTTTAATTCTGTGATTCGGTTATGTGATGAAAAATGCATACAAAACTGTGTACATATAAGTGCATGAAAGTTACAACTTTTAACTGATGTGGAAACAGCAAATGGAACAAATGTGTATTTGAATAGATGCAAGTGTCATAGAAAGTGAAAAACATAGGTTTGCTCATTCCACATGTTAGCCCAAAGGCCTCTTTTACAGGGATGTCTCCTGCCATGCTTTTCTCAATGGCAGATAAAGAAAGAGCGAGGGTGACATACCTTTGGGAATATAGAAACAACCAGTTAAAATGTGTTTGATTCCACTAAGTTAAGTTCTTTGTGGTCTCTGTGCATCATATTTATTGGCTTTGTGCCTGCGTGGAGCCTGTTGTCAGGAAGTCTCTTCAGCTAAGACTAACATGTAGCAAATAGAAGGAATCATTTTAAAGCAACACATTATGGAATGATTAGGCAAGCTGTTCTATCAGATTTTATCTTCCCTTTTATTTTACAGTGGTTACATATGATGTAAAAGTATTTTGCAATGAACCTTTGAGCAACATAAACTTGGTTCATTTGTCTCTGTGCGTATATGGAACCAATGGAGACACTGAAGACAGAGTACTTTTACTGTCATTACCTTCTACAACTCAGCAAGATGATGCGGTAAATGTTTATCTTGCAGTCATTGGGGGCAGCAGTGGGCAAGCGGCACTTTGCAGATGTTGTGCCATGCATTTACAAACCTAAAACATCTTTAAAAATAGTATTTCATAAGTTACATCCTTATCTAAATACCACTGGATGTTTTCAGTCATTTACAGGTCAGATTGATGCTGTGGACCTGGGAGTGCTGCACAAAGTTACACTCCTCATTGGAAGCAAATCATGTAAGTTTCTTGCACAATTCAGACATGACTAAAGTAACATTTTCATATTTGTGCTTACACCAGACAATTAGACCCAGAGTCTGTGCAGAATCAAACACCTGTCTTCCATTAAATGGTTAAGGTTTTATACCATTCTATTAAACATAAGTATTGAAGGTCAGCCCTATTGACATCCGTGGTACTTACTTCACTACAGGCATGCTGAGGATCAGAATTGTAGTTTGGCAAGATAAAAGCGTAGCTTTTGCATAGCTGAACTGAGATTACAAATGCCAATCTGAACAATGCATTTCTATATGTTTATGTCATGGATAATTACACTGAACCACTCCACCCTGCACTTAATAGTGGACAGCATGTACAGTAATCCTAATGTTACTTGAAAGATTTGAGCTGCTAGTCTGCTCACCAAAGCAGAGCAGTCTTGTAACATCTCAGACTAGTTATTCATCCAGCCCAGTATTACATCTTGGCAGTGGTCTCAGGCAGAAGCTTTTCACATCCCTTCTGCCTGATGTTAGCTTAACTGGAGGTGCTAGTGACTGAACCCAGTCACTTCTTTATGCAAACCATGCACTCTCCTAGGAGCTTGGGTCACTCTCCTCCCAGGCACATGTCTCGCAATAATTTTGTGCCCCAATTGTGATCCTCAAATACAGTTCCCCAAAAACTACAGCTATGACTCAGGATATCCTTATCACTCATAACAATCCTGCATTCTGAAGGTGATCCCTTTCTGCAGGAACCTACCAAAACTTACTCTCTGGAGCTCAAATGGGCACCATTGAATTGCACAGCTTCGCAACAGCACATTAACACTTATAAGGGGGGTCTCCACTGTGGTGCTCAAGGGCACCAAGGTGTCGGTAGACACTCCTTTTCTTACACAGGTTTTCCCATCCCAGTTGTGATTTTTGTAGAGCTTCTTAAGATCTTGTTTAATTGAAAATAATAAGTAGGATGAAGTATGCTGCAAAATGAAGTGCTGCCCTCTATCACTATCCTTATTTGGTTTAAAATACAGTGCTTTAGTGGTTTAGGGTTAAGACTCCACATCTGACTTGGAAAATTACTTCTCTTTACCATCACTAGTTTGCTTCCTGGGAAATACGTGTTTTGTGAGTGACCCTGATCACCACTGCAGTCACTTTATGAATCACCTACCTTATGGCAGCTGTTATGCAAAAGTATCAATGACACTTTAATAAAATTGCAAATATAGCCACCAGTCTAGAAACCCTAATTTGTATACTTATATAACACAATCTGCATAAGGTGATAATGGCTGGATCAAGTTGTAAGTGTAAAGAAGGCTATTTTCCATATGCTATTGTAAGTGACCATATCAAGTCCCACTGTACAAAATGGTATGTAGATTGTGTCTCAGCTGCTGAGAAAACAGAGTTTTTCTCCCTAACTGAGGAGCTAAACACCCACTCTGTTCTGTCCAGTGTACAGCTGATAAACTGACAACTGCAATAAGTAGGTGGCTCCCTGTCTCAAATACATGGGATCCTGCTTCCAAATAATTATCTCTGCCTACAAAGTGTGCAATTTATTTATTTATTTATTTATTTAAACATTTTTATGCCGCCCCATTCGCCAAAGCCTCAGGGCGGCTTACAACATTAAGTTTAAAGAATAATTATAACATTAAATTAAAAAATACAAACATTAAGTTAAAATGCAAAAATACCAATATAAAATAAGCCGCCCTGGCCAGATAAAATCCAATAATATTAACAATTAAAATGCCACTTAAATAAAAAAGTCTTTGCCTGGCGCCAAAAAACAAATAACGATGGCGCCAGGCGGAACTCTCTGGGGAGCACATTCCATAACTTAGGCGCCACCGCAGAGAAAGCCCTCCTCCGAGTACCCACCCTCCTAATTTCTTTCACGGAGGGTTCCCGGAGAAGGGCCTCTCCTGCAGATCTCAGGGGGCGGCCGGGCATATATGGATGTAAACGCTCCTTCAGGTAACCAGGACCCAAGCCGTTTAGGGCTTTATAGGTCATCACCAACACCTTGAATTGGGCCCGGACTTCAATGGGAAGCCAGTGAAGCTGACGGAGAACTGGAGTCATGTGAACATAACGCCCAGTCCCCGTCAGCAGCCTGGCAGCTCTATTTTGAACCAATTGAAGTATCCGGACCGTCTTCAAGGGTAGCCCCACGTAGAGCGCGTTACAGAAGTCAAGACGGAAAGTCACCAGCGCATGTGTCACTGTCGCGAGGCAGTCGTACTCCAGGTAGGGGAGCAGCTGATGAATCAGCCAAAGTTGAAGGAAAGTGCTCCTCGCCACCGCTGTCACCTGAGCTTCCAGTTAAAGCTCCAGGTCAAGGAGCACTCCCAAGCTGCGGACCTTGTCCCTAAGAGGGAGTGCAACCTCGTTCAGGACTAGGTTCGATTCACCCTCTCCAAAGCCTGATCCACCAACCAACAGGACCTCCGTCTTGTCTGGATTGAGCTTCAGTTTATTGGCCCTCATCCAGCCCATTACCTCGGCCAGGCACCGGTTCAGCTCAGCCACTGCCTCACCTGGATTGGTGGAAAACGAGAGGTAGAGCTGGGTATCATCAGCGTACTGATGATTCCACAGCCCACACCTCCTGATGACCTCTCCCAGCGGTTTCATGTAGGTGGCGGGACAACTCCAAGCACTCTTGGATGAAATTGATTATCTGGATCCTTTTCAGTCCGGCTTCAGACTCGGGTACAGTACTGAATCTGCCTTGGTCACCCTGTATGATGACCTGTGCAGGGAGAGAGACAGGGGGAGTGCGTCCCTGTTGGTTCTTCTGGACCTCTCGGTGGCTTTCGATACCATCGACCATGGTATCCTTCTGGATAGGCTAGCGGGATTGGGGGTTGGAGGCACTGCTTTGCAATGGTTCCGCTCCTATCTCAACGGTCGATTCCAGAACGTAGTGCTGGGGGACCATGTCTCTGCGTCATGGCAGCTATGCCATGGAGTACCACAGGGCTCCATTCTATCCCCTCTGCTATTTAACATCTATATGAAACTGCTGGGAGAGGTCATCAGGAGGTGTGGGCTGCGGAATCATCAATACGCTGATGATACCCAGCTCTACCTCTCGTTTTCCACTAATCCAGGTGAGGCAGTGGCTGAGCTGAACCGGTGCTTGGCCAAGGTAATGGAATGGATGAGGGCCAATAAACTGAAACTCAACCCAGACAAGACGGAGGTCCTGTTGGTTAGCGGATCAGGCTTCGGAGAGGGTGGATTTGATCTGGTCCTGAATGGTGCAACACTCCCTCTTAGGGATAAGGTCCGCAGCTTAGGAGTACTCCTCGACCCAGAGCTTTCTTTGGAAGCTCAGGTGACAGTGGTGGCGAGGAGCACCTTCCTTCAGCTTCAGCTGATTAATCAGCTGCACCCCTACCTGGAGTTCGACTGCCTGGCGATGGTGACACACGGGCTGGTGACTTCCCGCCTAGACTTCTGTAACGCGTTTTACGTGGGGCTTCCCTTGAAGATGGTCCGAACACTTCAATTGGTGCAAAATAGAGCTGCCAGGTTGCTGATGGGGACGGGGCGTTATGCGCACATGACTCCAGTCCTCCGTCAGCTTCATTGGCTGCCCATTGAAGTCCGGGCCCAATTCAAGGTGTTATGACCTATAAAGCCCTAAACGGCTTGGGTCCTGGCTACCTGAACGAGCGCTTACGTCCGTATATGCCCGACCGCCCTTTGAGATCTGCGGGAGAGTCCCTTCTCCGGGAACCCTCCATGAAAGAAATTAGGAGAGTAAGTACTCGGAGGAGGGCTTTCTCTGCGGTGGCGCTCAACCTATGGAATTCACTCCCCAAAGATGTCCACCTGGCACCGTCGTTACTGGTTTTTCGGCGCCAGGTAAAGACCTTTTTATTTAAACATCATTTTAATTGTTAAAATATATGACCTGGCCAGGGCAACTTCTTCTTCCTTCTCTTTTCTCCTCCTATATTATTTATTTACTTATTTTATACTGATAATTTTAATTTTATATTATTATGTTTGTAACTCAATGTATTTTTTGTATTTTTGTATTTAATGGTAATTTATTATGTTCTATTGTATTTCAATGTATTTTATTGTGTTGTAAGCCTTCCGAGGCTTCGACAAGGGGCGGCATAGAAATGTAATAATAATGATAATGATAATGATAATAATAATGTTGAACAGCAAAGGGGATAAAATGGACCCCTGCGGTACTCCATGGCATAGCTGCCATGGTGCAGAGCCATAGTCCCCCAGCACCACCTTCTGGA